CAATACGACAAATTCTTCTTATCAGTTATTGTAATGCAAGCTTCTTGAATAATGTATCAGTGGGTTAAGAGGGTGCTTTAATACCAATAAAGTTATCAATATTGTCTAACCTATGATTTCTATAGTTTTGGAAAATAAAATCTAGAACCACAGAAGTGGATTTTAGGCAGAAAGTGGAGTCTTGATGTCTGAAATGATGGGAAACAGTATCTAGACCTACAGTCAAATAATAGGTTTGAATCTGGCTGCTGGTCACTTACAGTGCTGTGGGAGGTAGGTCTGAGGAGGATTGAGCACATATTGCACCCATTACCAAGACTGTAACCTTCCTAGCAGGGATACCCACATAGGTCTTTCAAGTTTGCAGAGGTAATTCTTTGCAGAAAAAAGTTTCACTTCCTTGTGAAGATTTTCAATATGGAGATGGAGGAATGAAACTAAAATTTTCTCAAAAGAAATGGATGAGAACTTAGTCAAGATGGTCAATATTCTTAGGTGGAAAGATGTAGATGGACACTGACTATAAAATTAACACCTGTGATGCAGATTATGTCATCAATCAACAGATATTTCAGAGAAACAGTGAAGGCTGTCTTGCACCAGAAGCAACACTGTACTAGTATTTGATTTTAGTACAAAGCAATAGAAAAATTTATACCTTGCATTTTGCTATTTGGTGGTTTAGCTTCACGCATAGATTTTGCTGATATCATTCACATATAGACAAATTAAGGTGAGATATCTGCATCAGTCTATTGAAAAATATTAACTCTTGTGGTTTCTTTTCGAGTTTCCTACATCCATCACCATCCAGTAAAAAGGGAAGTGTGTTTGTTGAGGGGGAGGGGGGAATAGTAAGAATTCATTACCTGTGCCTCTTATGCTTTTCACCAAAGTTAATCCTCCACAGACTACATTATATGGGATTATAATGTTTGAAAGCAGGTGCTTGTTCAATAATCCTGCTGCAGTGTTATTGCAGCAGTCAACAAGGGGTTAAATAGTCAAGCCTGTGCATATAACCAAGAGAAAAAAGCAGGCAATGCAGGTATAATGTTGCCAAACAGGAAAACAGCATTTCTGTTGACTTGTCAATGGGTTTTTGTCGTATTCGTTTAGTGTTTTCACCTACTCTTAACAATCCACAGATCATATCAACAGGAGGAAGTCACTAAATAAATCCCTATGTAGGAAATGTTGTGAACATCTTTAATGAGTTGAACAATACCTATTCAATGGGATTATTAAATCAGGGCCAATTAATTACTAGTCAGCTCTAAAGATGGATGTTAAAATGTACAGCAGTCCTATTTATTTGCATATTCCCAACATATTTGACTTCAAATACTGAAAGCATTCTGTGACAGGCCTATTTGCTGTTTACAGATCCTGAGAATATATTGGACTAGGAGGGCTAGATCAATAGCAAGTTAGACTACACAGGGCTGTGTCTTGTCAATAAATTGTTGGCTGGTATGGGCAGTGAGGGAGAGGTTTAGGTATATGGTTGCTCAGAAAGAGTTGGTTGCTGTTGACAGAACAATTGACAGAATGACAGAAGATTGTATGAATCAAATAAGACTAATGTTTTAAAAAGTTTGTTGAATGAGATAAATGGGAAACAAAGCTAAACATGGTTTTGCTGATTATGGGTAGTCTCTTATTTTGAGCAGTCCTATCTTCTGGGTGCATTACTTCATGCTGCTGCCTCACTATAGAAAATTCCCTTAATATTTCTGATCCAGTTCACTCTGTGCAAACACTGCCAAGAATTAACAAACAGTTGAACAGGGAAATTAATAACAGTCACTTGGGAGGGATATAAATACCTAGAGAGCTATGTGCTTAATACAGGTAGACAAGTAGGTCTAACAAGGACATGGATGCCAGGTAAACGTGTTTATGAGCCTTTAAAGTTAATGGGTATCTTTGTATAATCTATATGAGTTGTATTTGCATTTAATAGTAATGCCTTCAGCAGCTGAGTAGTGTTCTNACCATATATATTTTTTGCAATAGTTAAAAAATTCTTGTTGATTGCATTTTTACAGCTTGTCAAGCACAAAACTGGTGGCTGTGTCCCTTATTTTGTGTATGTGGGGGTCCATACGAATGCGTTTGCTCCAGCTGGTGGTACAATATTTGGAGGCGGTATCGCCTCTCTGATCCTCTAGTTGAAAAATATTAACTCTTGTGGTTTCTTTTCCGAGTTTCCTACAACCATTGGCATCCAGTTAAAAGGGAATTGTGTTTGTTGAGGGGGAGGGGGGAATAGTAAGAATTCATTACCTGTGCCTGTAATGCTTTTCACCAAAGTTAATCCTCCACAGACTACATTATATGGGATTATAATGTTTGAAAGCAGGTGCTTGTTCAATAATCCTGCTGCAGTGTTGTTGCAGCAGTCAACAAGGGGTTAAATAGTCAAGCCTGTGCATATAACCAAGAGAAAACAGCAGGCAATGCAGGTATAATGTTGCCAAACAGGAAAACAGCATTTCTGTTGACTTGTCAATGGGTTTTTGTCGTATTCATTCAGTGTTTTCACCTACTCTTAACAATCCACAGATCATATCAACAGGAGGAAGTCACTTAATAAATCCTTAGAAAATATTGTGAACATCTTTAATGAGTCGAACAATACCTATTCAATGGGATTATTAAATCAGGGCCAATTAATAACAAGTCATCTGTTAATATGGATGTTAAAATGCACAGCAGTCTTATTTATTTGCATATTCCCAACATATTTGACTTCAAATACTGAAAGCATTCTGTGACAGGCCTATTTGCTGTTTACAGATCCTGAGAATATATTGGACTAGGAGGGCTAGATCAATAGCAAGTTAGACTACACAGGGCCATGTCTTGTCAATAAATCGTTGGCTGCATGAAAACTGGTATGGGCAGTGAGGGCTAGGAGAGGTTTAGGTACATGGTTGCTCGGAAAGAGTTGGTTGCTGTGAATAATAACAGCAGATAACATGAACCAAATTAGACTAGTCACTAATGTTAAAAAAGTTTGTTGAATGTGGTAAAAGGGAAACAAAGCTAAACATGGTTTTGATGATTATGGGTAGTTTCTGTTTTAGGTACTTATTTTGAGCAGTCCTATCTTTCTGGGTGCATTACTTCATGCTGCTGCCTCACTAAAGAAAATTCCCTTAATGTTTCTGATCCAGTTCACTCTGTGCAAACACTGCCAAGAATTAACAAACAGTTGAACAGGGAAATTAATAACAGTCACTTGGGAGGGATATAAATACCTAGAGAGCTATGTGCTTAATACAGGTAGACAAGTAGGTCTAACAAGGACATGGATGCCAGGTAAACGTGTTTATGAGCCTTTAAAGTTAATGGGTATCTTTGTATAATCTATATGAGTTGTATTTGCATTTAATAGTAATGCCTTCAGCAGCTGAGTAGTGTTATTTGAGGTCGCATGTTGAAATTTTGAGTCATTTGTTTAGTTGAAATATTTTTATTGCCCGAGAAGTCAAAATGTAATTCCCATGCTTTTCAAATAGTGTCTTTTTGTATTTGCACCTTGGCTGAAGTTATGAAATAAAATACTAAAGTTGTTTTGTAATTTATTTTGTTCTTGCTTGAGTTCCCAACAACAAAAACTTGAGAAAAGAACATAACTTGAAGCAATAGACATGGAAAGAAGCATTTTTGTTCCTTGTAACATTTCTTTATATTTTCATCTTCATGAAAGGTATACTATAACTTAGAATACCAGCATTTTTAAATCTTAGCTGGAGGTCTTTTTAGTAAGAGCTACTGTGAACATAGATTTAAGTAATATATATATCATTGTTGCGTGCTACAAACTTGCATTCAACCCTGGCTGTCACTTGCCAGTTGTGACTCAATTATCCGACCACATTATAATACACTTATACAGGTATGGGAAATCATACTCCATATGCTTTCAGGAGAAGAATCAATAATCTGAGTAGTAGACACTAATAATGCATTATGTTGTATCCATCTGTGACTTCCATATTGTTAGGAAATGAAAAAGGGAATATTAACTAGATATTTCATGAATTTAGCTTTTGGGGATATATATGGCTTTGTTGCAATAATATCAAATAGAAACCAAAAATATGATAATTGGTCTGAAAATAGTTGAATATTTAAATTTTTGGTTCATTTAACCTTATCCAAAATATGCCAGAAGTCATTGGCAAAAGATGTTGGGGGGGAGGGGGGGAATAAAAACAGCATGTTAGATATGGAGTTATAATTTCATTACTGATCTTTGTGTGATATTCAATGGCTGTCCATCTGGTCTAATCCCCAAGCATAGTTTTAACATGATATAATTGTTTCCCTGTCAACACCTGGTAATTTACTTTATGCACACGTGTTTTTTGTCTTCATCTCAAGCATGGAATGTACAAAATTTTCACATTAGCCTTGCATGCAGTCACACTTAATGGTTGGAGGCTTGTCTGTAAAAAGGCTTTGTAAATTTATTGTAATGATGAAATTACTAAATCCAGTTCATGCAAAGAGTATACATTGAATACTCAGACTGTTTGTATTGATTTTTTTTCTGGTTGGCTTTGTGAATCCACCAACTCTTATTTAATGCCTCAGGTGTAGGTTAGTGCATGTTGAGCCTCAGAACTTGACGGACTAGTTCGCGCCTGTTTTGATAGGTAAACATTGAGTCAGTCGGTCTGTGCCTTGCTGTATGGGTTTCCCTGAGTAAATATGAAGTGGATGACAGCTCTCTCTGGGCGTGGGATGATTTATAGTCAGTGGAGCACAGCCGCAGAGGAATTATGGCCCAGATTGCGATGGAGGAGCCAAGCAGGCATTTCCTGCAGTGCTGACAACAGCAATCTTAAAAGATAACAGGCCAGTAATGTTATATAAAGTGACTATCAGCTGTAGGCATCTTTGATTCAACTTTAATGTATTTTTGCTCTCTGATGACCTAGATTTTGGGTAATTGGCTCACTCAGTTATGTGTTTTTTATTTGCAGTCTGGGTTGAGTCATCCAAGCGGCTTGCAGCAGCAGCTTAGCTAGCATGGAGGCGGAGACTGAAACAGCGCAGATGAATGGCCCATCTGGAAAATACATAGACAGCATAGGTAAGAAAAGACATTGGAACACCAAACTGGACATTTTTACAACAACCTGATATACTTTTTTCATGCCTCCCTAATTCTACCTTTGGTAACATTAATTTTAAAAAGTGAGCCTCAGTGCCATTTGCCTATTATATACGTGGGTAGTCATTGAGGCCTGCCAATTACACTAACCTCAACTGACACTCTATTTCAAATTGATGTAAGATTTTCATTTTCCCATATCACATAGTCAGAAAAAAAAAATTCAGGCCAATTCCTTTTTGTGCTGTAACTGTAAATTTGTTTTCACCTACATCATGGAGTATGGACAGTTGGAGTTGTCTCGGTATCCCCATACTCTTTCCCTCAATATTACCCTGGGGATTTCCATTTGGTTATGCCAACCTTATACCAGTGTTCTGAATTATAAAGACACAGTCTAACCAGTGCTGTGATCCTCAGGGTGAACTGATTGGTTCATTCTTGAAAGTGCTATCTCCTGTCACAGCAGTTGTGTAATGGAAAAGAGAAACCATCAATGCTGTTAATGGAATGTATGGATTTTTCATTAACTCAGGAGAGCTTACTTAGGACTGTGACACAGACAGTTGATTCACTATTACAAATGATTTTGTAAATATAGTTTGTGGCTAAGGAAGTGGGTCAGTGATTGTTTATGTATTACAATAGTGGAAAACAATTTTTTTTAGATGTTTTCTAGAAGTATTTTTAGACAAATGGTAAAATTTTAGCACAAACCAGTTGCAACAAACTTCCCATCATTAAAAAGAATTAAAAGTCTGAACAACTGTTCTGTCATTCTGATATGACCTCCCAGGCCTCTGATATAAACATTATCTGGAAGCTGGAATGCTTAGCCAAGATAGAATGTTGTTCTAAGCTAAAAGTATGCTAGCTCCTGGGGATACTAGATACTCCTGTATCATGACCAGAAGGTCACCACTGTACCAAAGGATACACATGATACCTCATTAAATTATTCATTACTGGTAAGTAGGGGTATAAGTGATATTTTGGGAAGGACATTCCTTTGAAGTGAAATCAAAGGCCTGGTGGAGGGCATTGCAGTAAAGATAGAATCACAATAGTCTGTGCCCCTATTCTGAATTACATAATTCCTTTTGATAACCCAGGGGATCAGATTAGTTTAATAAAGTCATCCCTTTTAATATTTGTTCTGCTCTGATATGGAGAGGAGCTGATCTGCTTGGTATCAAAGAGGGGGACATTATATCATGGTGCTGGATTTACTTTCTGGCTAATTTTATGGTTTTCTTTGTGAATTATAAGTACCTTCCTGATCCCAGTTGTGTATGAGGTTGTATGATGGATTGTCATTGAATTCACAAAAATATTACAATATTTGTAATGATGCATATTTTGCGAGCATAGTTTGTGAAAGATATATATTTGTGCGTGTGTATGTGTGTGTGTGTGTGAGAGAGAGCGAGAGTTTAAATGAACCCTTCTGTGAATTGTTTTCATTTATTGTAGCGCATCTTCATGTTAAATGCTTTTATAATTGTTATCCAACCACTTATCTTTTAAATAATATCAATTAAGATGTGTGATTCTTAAAAAACCATCATTATTCCTGTCCAGACACAGAAGATCCAGAATACAGGCGTGAGTTGCAGAGGCCTCCAGATATCAAAGAAGACGTCAGGGGACTGAAGCTAAGGCAGCGTGTTTCTCTTGTCCTGAACAGTGAAGCCTTCAGAGAAGAGTTGGAAGAGATAGTCGACGACACACTACAGAATGTCCCAAGTTCTTCCAGTCTTTTAGCATTGCAGCAGATTGCAGATGTTCTCATACCACAACAGAATAAGCCTGTGTCTGGGATAAATAAAAGTGGACGTAAGTATTTACATTTGTATTAGTGTGTTATACATATATCTACATCTGGTATCTTTTTTTCTGTCATAATGAAATAAATGCATGTTTGGTGAGTTAATTCAACAAGGCAGACATTATGACATCACATATAAAACCACAATGCATAAAATGTTATTGGGGGAGAAAAAGGCAAATGGCTTTGTGCATCCCATTGAATCCTACAGAATGATTACCAATGACATGTTTTCTGAATTGAGTGCCAAAAACTCCATCCAAAAACAATACAAGTCTTGGTTGTTCCCAGAATTGTCTGTGTGTAGGTCTTCAATAATTTTAACTTGTGTTTTTTCAGTCGCAACTCCCTTGATTTTGATAAACGACCTGAGAGGAGTTGATGCAGCCAACTACAGCAAACAGGAGAGGGTACTACGGTGTAAAGTGGCATCTTGTTACAGACTGATTGACTTATTTGGTTGGACCCATGGCATCTATAACCACATTTCGGTGAGTTTTTTGTAAAAAAATTTGGGCTACATATGAACAAAGGGATGTAAATTGATTTCTACCAATATTTATTTCGTTGAACCCATGACCTCCTTGACCACATTTGGTGAGTTAAGGGCAGCATATATCTTGGCCCAGTTTTACCAAGAATTTAAACTGATTAACCAGAAAGAAAGAAGTTTCTTTCCCATAAAATTTGAATGGGTATTTTTCCTGTGTTATATGAATTGTAATCAACTCAAGGTTTGCAACTTTTATTGTAGAGTTGACATGTTTTCATTTTTTGAAAACTCCAAGCCCTGTGTCTTACAAATTTGGCTAAACTATAAACATTGGACAAAAAGCTTTGTGTTTAGGGTATAGTCTATGTATAATGTAATATAAGCTATTGAATATGCTCAAGGTCCTTTGTGGGTAAAAATAACTTTGTGCAACTTACATTACCACCAAAATGTGAAAAATGAATTACAGCATAAAAAGGCACTGTGGATTTCTTTCATCAGACTGATTGAAAAATCAAGTGATTTGATGTGCCAAATTGTAATCACTGCACCATGAGGCACTTCAACCCACTGTGGTTTGTTTGGATCCAACAGTTTTCTGCAGAAAGAACAACATTTTTTTAAGCAAATGTCATTTGTGTGGGAGTGTCAGCTTCTTGTCAAAATTTTTTTCTATTGTTAACCCGTTAGAATGCCTTCAGGTTCAGAAAAGCTCAAGTACTCTTGGAACACTTGAAAAAAAAGTCAAAAGCAGTTTTCCAGTATATTTGAATAGGAACCAGCCACAGGGACTTAAAATGGGGTCAAGTGGATGCAAATTTTAACTTGCGCCTTTGGCTGGATTGGGAATCATTGTCACCTAAATCTAGAACAGAATTAGACATTTGAAATTAATCTGTTGCTGTATCAGAGTATCAAAGATACTATTTATACTCATGGCCTGTTTCCTACTGTAAATATACATAGANTGTGTGTGTGAGAGAGAGTCAGAGTTTAAATGAACCCTTCTGTGAATTGTTTTCATTTATTGTAGCGCATCTTCATGTTAAATGCTTTTATAATTGTTATCCAACCACTTATCTTTTAAATAATATCAATTAAGATGTGTGATTCTTAAAAAACCATCATTATTCCTGTCCAGACACAGAAGATCCAGAATACAGGCGTGAGTTGCAGAGGCCTCCAGATATCAAAGAAGACGTCAGGGGACTGAAGCTAAGGCAGCGTGTTTCTCTTGTCCTGAACAGTGAAGCCTTCAGAGAAGAGTTGGAAGAGATAGTCGACGACACACTACAGAATGTCCCAAGTTCTTCCAGTCTTTTAGCATTGCAGCAGATTGCAGATGTTCTCATACCACAACAGAATAAGCCTGTGTCTGGGATAAATAAAAGTGGACGTAAGTATTTACATTTGTATTAGTGTGTTATACATATATCTACATCTGGTATCTTTTTTTCTGTCATAATGAAATAAATGCATGTTTGGTTAGTTAATTCAACAAGGCAGACATTATGACATCACATATAAAACCACAATGCATAAAATGTTATTGGGGGAGAAAAAGGCAAATGGCTTTGTGCATCCCATTGAATCCTACAGAATGATTACCAATGACATGTTTTCTGAATTGAGTGCCAAAAACTCCATCCAAAAACAATACAAGTCTTGGTTGTTCCCAAAATTGTTTGTGTGTAGGTCTTCAATAATTTTAACTTGTGTTTTTTCAGTCGCAACTCCCTTGATTTTGATAAACGACCTGAGAGGAGTTGATGCAGCCAACTACAGCAAACAGGAGAGGGTACTACGGTGTAAAGTGGCATCTTGTTACAGACTGATTGACTTATTTGGTTGGACCCATGGCATCTATAACCACATTTCGGTGAGTTTTTTGTAAAAAAATTTGGGCTACATATGAACAAAGGGATGTAAATTGATTTCTACCAATATTTATTTCGTTGGACCCATGACCTCCTTGACCACATTTGGTGAGTTAAGGGCAGCATATATCTTGGCCCAGTTTTACCAAGAATTTAAACTGATTAACCAGAAAGAAAGAAGTTTCTTTCCCATAAAATTTGAATGGGTATTTTACCTGTGTTATATGAATTGTAATCAACTCAAGGTTTGCAACTTTTATTGTAGAGTTGACATGTTTTCATTTTTTGAAAACTCCAAGCCCTGTGTCTTACAAATTTGGCTAAACTATAAACATTGGACAAAAAGCTTTGTGTTTAGGGTATAGTCTATGTATAATGTAATATAAGCTATTGAATATGCTCAAGGTCCTTTGTGGGTAAAAATAACTTTGTGCAACTTACATTACCACCAAAATGTGAAAAATGAATTACAGCATAAAAAGGCACTGTGGATTTCTTTCATCAGACTGATTGAAAAATCAAGTGATTTGATGTGCCAAGTTGTAATCACTGCACCATGAGGCACTTCAACCCACTGTGGTTTGTTTGGATCCAACCGTTTTCTGCAGAAAGAACAACATTTTTTTAAGCAAATGTCATTTGTGTGGGAGTGTCAGCTTCTTGTCAAAATTTTTTTCCATTGTTAGCCCGTTAGAATGCCTTCAGGTTCAGAAAAGCTCAAGTACTCTTGGAACACTTGAAAAAAAGTCAAAAGCAGTTTTCCAGTATATTTGAATAGGAACCAGCCACAGGGACTTAAAATGGGGTCAAGTGGATGCAAATTTTAACTTGCACCTTTGGCTGGATTGGGGATCATTGTCACCTAAATCTAGAACAGAATTAGACATTTGAAATTAATCTGTTGCTGTATCAGAGTATCAAAGATACTATTTATACTCATGGCCTGTTTCCTACTGTAAATATACATGGAGCCCTGCAAGATAGCTGGGTCACTGGTAGGTTAGGTGTCTGCAAAATGCATTTCCTGCTCAAGGTCAGAAAAGCGTAGCCACACCTTTCCTTATTTTGTAAAAGAAGAATTGTAAAGGAGAATTGTAAAGAGCATAAAAAAGTGACTCTTTTATTTAAAATCAGAAAGCAAAACTTATTTTTAATTTTCATGTCAAGTTAAGTTTCTTGTGAACTTGAAGGCATGTGGCAACTTTGTGATAAAATAAACTTCTTTATTTGCTTGTGTTACTTGAAGTACTTTGGGCACATTTCAGCGTTATTGTTGATGGTATTATGGATATTCCAGGAATCAATCTCTGACGCATTTCCAGGAATAATGATGAGGGTTTTTTTTTCTTTGCAACATTAGCACTAACCTTTTCTATCATAATGTGGAGAAAGCAGAGCCCAAGATTCTATCAATACCAATTGAAGTGGACTTGCCATAAATTTTGTTACTGTTCTGGTTTGCAACAAATAGGGGCTCATGCTATGTTTTATTATGACTAAGACTAGGTGGTCTAAGGTTTGTTATAGTTTCCCTTGCAGACTACAGTCATTTGGATTTTTCTCAACCATCACTCACTCTCTAATTCTGTATACACTAGGGTTTCACTGGCATTTTTCTTCTATTAGCCAAGCAGTAAGTTTTTCCCCCTAAGTTGAATGATGGTAACTGTACACATTTTAGTGCTAAATTAAATTGTCAAAATCAGCATGTATTTCAAAAAGCCTGTCCCCATTATACCATGGGGATGTCTAGATGATATAAGCTAAGAGATCCTAGGTCTAGTCCTTGGTATTTTCCGTTTATATATGTATGTATATATATCTCAAGTATGGCCGAGCATGTTGAAGAATAGCCCAGGTGGTCTGAAGGTGATTATAACAAGAGGTCTCAGGTGTGGAACTGAGCCAACAGACATGCCAGCAGACATAATGCTCACACATACATCACACTAGATCTTGGGAAAATATCGCAACCTATAGAAAGGTTAGGGTACTTGAAGCACTTGCCTGGATAAGGTGTAAATATTGATGATGTAATACATAGGTAATACATGCTGACTTGGAAGTGTTTCACACCTTAAAGTTGAGATTCTTGTCAATTTTATATAAGGTGGTGAAGAAGGCTAGGAACAGTGCGCCTCCTATGGAGAGTTGAAAATCCACTGGGTTATGTTGACAGTTGATAGCTGTAAACATAGGCGATGTAATTTATATATATTTAGAACAAAGTCAAGTATTCTGGCACTATAATATGTTATTGCCTGTTCTGGGTTCATCGAAGCATGGAGATCTTTGTCAACGACTGTTCATTTCATTTAACTGTAAGATGGTACACTATGTTATTGAAACTCGTACAACAGTTTTCAGTTTTGGAAAAGGAGTGGGCTTTGTATTCATTTGGAACCCATTGGCTTTCCATCTATGGCTTTACCTTCGACAATTTTTTTTCTTTCTCTTTTTGTGGTTTTGCCAACTTGACTTCCATCTCCATGTCATGTTCCATAATGCTAAATTGCTGGTGGCAAGGATGGAGCACATAAAAATTCCATTCAAAAGCCACATTTGGTTTGTATCACAACCACTAAACCTTAGAAAACACAACATAGCTGTCATGCTTGTGTCGTTTTGAATTGAAAATACAGACCAGAGTCTTTTGAAATTTCCATTCTTTGCCTCCAGTGACAAATTGTTTCTGTTTTGCACCTCTCTTGTTTTTATGACCAAAATTATGAATACAGTGACTGGGGTCAGCATACATGAATATGCAATTCATCACTCCATGACAAATTGCCTCTTTTTGCACCTGTTTTAATTGCCAAAATGACTCTAACATTTCTGACATTTTTCGGTGGAACATTAGTACATTGCATTGTGAAAGTAAGCGATTCACAGCATGCTTTGTACTTGACCAGTATTAATATAACATGTTGGTTTGTAATGCACTAGTACTTTAAAGTTTCTACTGAGGTTTCTACTCAGTGTTTTGTGATAAGGTCCATATGGTCTGACAAACTATTTGATGTAGGGCAGTGTGCGCAGAACACATATACATTTCAGGTCACTGTTTTAGTGTTGATACAAGTGGGAATTTCTGCTATCTTTTAGTTTGAAAGCATTATATATGAACTAGAAATGGAAAGGGATTCTGAACGAATAAGTTTTGATTTACTCATGTTTAACAAAAAATTGTTTCTATGCTGTTGACATTCATTTTTCTTCGTGTATATAGATATGATCATGGTTCACCACATGGTAATCCCATACATGGTACTTTTTAATATTTTTACAAAACAATATTGTAAATTTACACCCACCCACCCCTCCCAATATATACTTGGGTTGATTTTTGTTTCCCTGACATGTTTAAGTAAAAACTAGGACACCATTTCAGAATATAATGCTTTTACTTGGGTTTATTCTCAGGCACGTATCAACCAAGAACAGGAGCACTTCCTCATCAATCCTTTTGGCCTCCTGTACAGTGAGGTGACAGCAGGAAGTCTAGTCAAGGTGAACCTCCAGGGGGAGGTGATGGACCAGGGGAACACCACCCTGGGAGTCAACAAAGCTGGTTTCACTATCCACTCTGCCATTCATGCTGCACGCCCAGATATCAGGTGCATCATCCATCTGCATGTGCCATGTGTCGCAGCGGTAAGTCAGTTTTTTTTTTTTTTTTTTTTTTTTGTCTAATCCATATGCTTGTGCCATGTGTGACAACATTGACAAGATTTATTTTGGAACTTAAAGATTGGAGATAGATAACTTCACTGTGTTGCATAGAAAAAAAATATTGATGTGGAAGATAGTGTCTTACTTTTGCCTAAGGAAGTCAAGTTGCTTGGAATTTCATAAAGGAGAATCGACTAGGTTAAGTAGATGACCATTAAACTATATCAGTTGCAGCCAAAGAACCATTTTCCATGGAAGATACAGTGAATAGATGTATTGGATAACTTTCAGACTGTCTAAATAGTCTCATGCAATCTGGTTATGAATGCATCAATCAATACAAGATATTGTCATTTACACATACACCAAGCATTAAAGATAACATATGGCTTGCAGACAGATAAATAATGTCACTGCTGGCCTACCTTATTTTGTAATAATGATGGTAGAATTACCTTATTGATACAAGCTCCATTTGACCAAATAAGAAGGCTGAATATTTTACCTATGGTTAGGGTGTGGGCTTGGACTGAAAATCTTTATTGTCTGTGACAGAGGACTGACTGCACTGCCATCTATCAGTCAGAAATGTAGGCTTGTAATAGCCCCCTGACATCAAACTGTAAGCAACCCGCATGCATTTTGCCTGTCATATCCAAGGTCACCAACACATTACGCAAAGAGATTTCTACTGGGGACACTTGAAAGGAAATCTAAACTGACCACTGCCTTCATATCCTGGTGAGATCAGGTTGCAAGTATGGTGGTCTTGTCACCAGGAGCCAAGTCTATATATTGTTTGCAGACCTCTGACCTTGTAGGTGTGGCAGCCAAGTAGCCATTTTCCCAAACCCCTAGCATAGCCATGAGATGATGTCTTTTCATGCCTGATTTCAGTTGACTTTGTTAAAAAGCAATTCTATACAATTTAAAACAATTTGTCATACTGGGCCATTCGGATAAAATACAGTTGAATCATGACTTTACAGCCCTTTAGTAGTATTGCTATGGGAACAAAAAAATAAATAAAAATAGGTCAGTGTAAGCACCAACTGTGCTCCCACCAGGTTCCACTGTAACAAATTATATATAACCGTATAAATAGTTTTAGCATCTGTGAACTATAGGCTCTCTCTGACCTCTATAGGCTAGTCTGACCTGCTGGCCAAATTAAAAGTCGAGACTAGAGTTCAGATATATTAAAATATGTTTGAAAGCTCTGTAGTTCAGTAAGTGGCGATATATTAATTTCAAGACAAAACTAATTTGAAAGTGACCTTTGATTTTAGGTTTTGACAAAAATGTGACATTTAGTTGCTTGAAGATGGTTTCTTGTAAATTTCTTTGACAAGTAAATGTGGTTCACCAAGTTCATAGAATTTTGCAGTGAATTCTCTTTCAGAAAAGAAACTAAAGTCAAGGATATATCTTTTTTTTTTTTTTTTTTTTTTTTTTGTTAAACAGGGTTCTTCTTTCTTGGAAACCACAAAAGATTCCGTTTGGTGTAATCAGGCATCTTTTGTGTCCATATTCAACCAGGTCTTTGAATTGTGTATTTTGAATCATGTATAATATTTCTGACAACAGATTCTGAGAATGCATGTTTTGTAAAACCAAATGAATAGAAAGCAAACAAGTCAGTTGAATAATTTTTGTTTTTTTATCAGAATTGAAAATCTACCAATACAAATATCAAGTCCTCAGTAGATTTAAAGGTTGTGATGGCAAACAAAGATAAATAAACCAAAAGAAAATAGAATAAGTAAAGGATTTCTTGACATTTTTTCAGGTATCCATGATGAAACAGGGTCTTCTTCCCATCTCCCAAGAGGCTCTGATCTGTGGGGAGATTGCCTATCACGATTACAATGGCATCGTAATTGATAATGAAGCTCAGGAGTTGATTGTTAGGAATCTGGGACCCAACAGCAAGGTGAGGTTGCTTTCAAAAAAGAAAGTCAATTTTGTCCTATTTGCAGCTATATATCGTTTCTTAAAGTTGTTGACTTCATTTTGCAAAGACAAAACAGATGTCATTTTAGAACCCTTTGACCCATGTTATACAAAATGGACCACCAATATTTGACAAATAAAACATTTGTTTTGACAGAGCATGTTTGAGAGTTGAGATCTTTCCATATATCAGTTCATTGGAAGATGATTTCAAAGAGTTTCGGTGATACATTTGTTATCTTAATGTTGCCAAAGAGAGATTCCTAGTGTAAATGGAATGCACTTGGGAGATATGTCTGTTTTCATAGACATGACAATTCAAACATGGCATAATGATTATGACAAATACACCAGACATTATAAGTTTATTCAACTGTCCGGGGCCAGTTGTGCATTATATATAGCACAAATGTAAAATATTGATTTTTTGAAGCACTAGGTCAGACACTAGAGTTATGCCTACCAGTGACAGACAGAGGCAAATATATATATGCAATGCAGGCATTTCTCAACTCTCTCAAGTAACCCATTCATTAGCACCTTTTAGGGAAAAAAAAGAGTAAGACAAGAGCATGTTAAAGTAGTCTGCGGGTCGATATCCAAAGCTTTGCCAATCTTTAGTGGATCTGAAAATTAATCTCATTACATTTGTTAACTGTATCCCTATATTGATTTGCACCAGAGGTTGTTTGAGCTTGTAGGGAAGATTCAACATATTAGGCCATGAGTAGTGGCTGGTTTAAATTTCCATCTGGGTGATGGAAATTGAGTCATAGAATGTGCATCCTCTGAAAGTTCTTAATATTAGAGAGTATGAGAGTATGACAAATCATATATCCCACTGAGACAAAAATAAGTGGTTTAACTATTGTATCATACATTCTTTTTAGTCAACAAAATAAGTGTTAATATATTTTTTAATGTAAGAAAAAATCATGTTGTTGGCTATGACAAAAATTCATTTAATATATCATTTCATTACGTATACTATCAACCCAGTAAATCTAAATGTTTTCAGCAGTGAGTGTTTCATGTGTGAAACCATCACCTCTAATGGTATGTACTTGTTTTCACATTTTCATACTTATTGTGTATTTGTAGGTGTTGTTTTTGCGCAACCATGGTGCCGTTGCTTGTGGTGCTACAGTTGAGGAGGCTTTCCACTATGCATGGAACCTGATACATGCATGCCAAGTACAGGTAAAAACCTTTAATTTCTGAAGCCAAAGATTGTGATATTCCATCATCTGTTTCTTTTGAGCCTAGTTTATTGATAAGGTGAAGCTTAAATGGTGCAATGTCATTAAAAAATTAGAAAATAGTTCTTCTCATTACAAGTAATTTGTTGCTTCAACATTTGCAAATATATGGAGCTGTATCTTTACCCCATCTGAAAGATTTCCACATTTTGGTTGGAGTGTACAGCATAAACAGGAATTTTGAGTTTTTCTGTTCTGATTCTTGAACTGTAGGCCCAGTATGTTAGTTTAAAAATATCACTGAATCTTGACAATATTTGTTTGAAATGCAGTAATTTATGTATTAAATATATTTGTTAGAGCTTTTGCCTGTATATATATATATATCCTCTGTGTTATAGGTGAATGCTGCCAGCCTGGGCATTGACAACCTTATTCAGCTGAGTGAAGATGTACAACAGAGGACCTTTGAGGTGGCCAGTCGCGGTGGGGGTGGCGTGAACTCAAAGGATGCTGGAGTCAAATGGAGGACCGGAGACCTGGAATTTGAGGCTTTAATGAGGCATTTAGATAGCGCTGTTAGTATTTTTTGTTTCCAGAATTAAGGCCTAGATTTGTGTTGAGTGACAATTTAATGGATACAACATTACACCTACGAAAAATTTTTTTTTGCGTGATAGCTATTTAGAGTCATGAAGATATAAACTCAGTAACTTTCACCAAGTGACATATTGGTCCATATTAGAATCCAGTTTTGCTAGTTTCTATTTAAGGTTCATTACAAATGGGCAGGTAATTGTTGGTCTGTAGCATGAAATTAATTGAAATTGATAGAGATTGGTGCAGACATATGTTGCTTGTTTGTTGATATTAATTAATTCTGGAGAAGAATGTTATATCAAATTTGATTTTTAATTTCCTATAATGTTCAGGGATTTAGAACTGGCTACATGTATAAGCAGCCCATTGTTAGGCAACCTAAGAAGGGCCGTATCAACAGTGATGTAGAGGAGCCGCCCTCTTCAACTAACATCTCCTACATCTATGATGAACATGGGTAAGTGTTGATGATAAAGGTAACAAGATTCTGATGTACTGTATTCTTGATAGCTTGTATCAGCACTAACCAGAATAACCTTTGAATTGGATATGTTATAGAATAAAGTAATTGTAGGGTTATGAGTCTTTTCTGAATTACTAATCAACTTGAGCCAATAAGTTTGCAATTTTGCTATTTAAATTTTTTCTTCTCAATAAATTTATATTCTTATTTTAGTACACCAATTAAACAGATCATTGAATCAAAAAAGAAGGCTCAGAAGACAGAATGGCTGAACACTCCCAATATATATCACAAACAAGAAATTGAGGAGATTGGCACCCCAAACCCAAAGAAAATTATCAAGGTATATATTTTTATCAAGATTTATCACCAACCAAGGACTCTTTTCCAGTCTGTTAGATTGAACAGTTAACAAAAACACCCTCATAAAGATTTTAGAAATATTTCGTGCTTATACAGAAAACTTGCTATTTGAGATTGAAATTCACAATTTGTAATGATCTATTTTAGACATATTAGCTCGGGTCATTTTTGATTAGTTTAGCATTCATATTATTTGGTTATTTACTTGTAACATTCGAGTCTATATGCATCTTTATTTGACAATCTAGTGGGTAGAAGATTCCAGTTCACCACAAAGGGGCAGTTACATCAAGGTAGAAAACCCAAACCAGTTTGCACCTCAAGGACAAGATCCCAAGGAGTTTAAGCAAAAACAAAAGAATGTATGTGGAATTTCATTTAAAATCAAGAGATGAATATATTGTTTTTTAAATTTGTCCAGTATATTTGTTGGAGAAATGATGTTTCAGATAAATCTTTGCATAAAATGTCATAATCAATTTTACCTTATATTTTGCCCAAAATGAAATAAAATTTATTATAATCTACGAGCAGAAATCGTCTGTATTCTACACATCAAACAAGCCTGTAATACAGGACCACCTGGGTCAAACTCTGGCACAAGTTTTAAAAAATATATTTTCCTAAACTTGAATATTGGTATACTTTATATCTATTCATAAAAGCATCTTCATTCTCTAGATAAGGAAAGGTTACTATGATGAGAAGATCACCCCAGGCCCCCAGTCCAGGATTCTTGAAGGTGTGAGCTGGGAAGAGGCAGAGAGGATGAAGGTAAACCACATTATAATATTGTTTGAAAAACCTTTCAGTTACTTGTACAGTTTAACAGCTGTTTCAAATTACAGTAATATCATTGTGTTCTTAAACCATTTCCAAGTCTGCTTGACTTATTTTAGCTGCTAAATGTTTTGGCAATTATGTCACGTATGGAATGCTAAAAAACAGCTCATATTATATTTAGCACACCGCTCACAGTTCTTAAGTTTTGGGTTAAAAGTATTGCTGTTTAGTACAATTTTTAAGTTGATATGTTATTAGGATATTTTGTTATTTTTATCATATTCTATGAAGCTAACATGTGATATGCAATAGTGACATATTTTCCCTAGCAGAAACCCCCAATATTATATCCCCTATTATTTTCCCATGCTAGGATGCAGATCAGAGTGGCACTCAAGACAAAGTGATCATTGTTGGGGCTGCCTCCAAGGGCATCATCAAGAGGGATCAGCAGCACAACGCTGTGGTGTACAGGACACCCTACACACCCAACCCCTTCGACAACATGAGCCCAGAGGAAATTGAAGCCTACAAGAAGGAGGTGGAGAAGAAACAGAAGGGTGAGAATTTAGATATCAGTTTTCTTAGGTGATCAGTCTGTACCAAAAGCATTTGGTCAATAAGCTTACTAATTTTCACCAAATTTTGTTGGTATATTTGCTTGAACTGACAAAATGTTTTTCTTTAGCTCAAATAAAATTTGCCCAGAAAAAATAGGTATTGTTAAGTATTTAACATGTTCTTGTGTCAGTTTGACCCAGGAAACATTTTTTCTATTACAATAGATTAATATTTATTCAAGATTAAAAGATTTTTTCAGGTTCATACCGAGTTATTTACTAGTATTATAATGTACAAGTCCAAAATGTCAAATTTATCCAAATTTGTAAATGCAACAGACTAAGAATGTGTATATATATTTTCGAAAACGGAAATTAAAAATTCCAATTATTTGACAATCATAATTGTAGAAGAACAGTAGGTTTTGGTGATTTTCTTCAACTAATTTCCCAATTTATTGGTTTCTGCTGTTTGTTAAAAGGCTTGAATGAATCACTGTCATTGTTAATGTGTGAGTCACCACATTTCATAAAATACCAAGCATTTGGCTTTTGCCCCCAATCGATTTTAGGTTTCTCTTCTTTTCATTAGCTAACATGCAATACACAACAGGATTTATATAGAAGGACTGAATACCAGTTGCTACTGACAGAATATGCCAAGGCAAAATATTCAATATAAATAAATGACTGGTGATACAATTGATGTAGACAGAAATCATTTTCACAAAGTAAACAGAATTTTAAAGAAAAAAAAACATTTCTTTATATTTAAGGTGATGGAGATGGAGAACCAGGTGCTGATACAGTTGACACAGACGAAGGTAAGGATGGATAGAGTACTCTGTGGTAAAATCTCTGCTGTCCCTTCCACAGCACAAATATTTTGGAGTGATAGATTACCCAAGTTTTCTTAGTAAGATTTTCCAGTGGGAATTTTCTAATCGTGGGATGGTTTTGAATCATAAATGTCTCCAGAGAACTGTTTTAAAGAAATTATTCTGTTAAGAACAGGGTTTTAAGATGGTTCACAATGTGGTTTTCGTTAATATCTGTTCCATATACTAAGATCTAAACAAAAAAATACCATTTGAACAGCTGAAAGCTATTTTTATTATGTAACCCGAGCTAGATTTATGAGTCATTACTTTCTAAAGGTTCCACAGATAAGACATGATTGATTGCCATGTGCCATTGTGTTACACATTATTTATACAAACAGTATTCCATTTCAAATTTCTTTTTATGAGATACATTTATTTGTGTATATTTAGGGTTCATTATTATTGATCTTGGGTCAGATATACATATATATTATATTAATTTCCTCATGCTTACTCCTAGCAATGTGAATGATTCTATAATCCCAGGGTTGCTGACATTGCACTTCTATAATACATTGATAATAGGAAAAAATATCTGCTAATTAAAGAAACCAATCCTCTAAAGTGAGAGTAACTGTCAATGTGACAAGTTAGCAACCCTGTTTCTACATGTGCAGTTAGTCTAACCATATTACCTACCACTGAGGCATGTTGTTAAATGAGAATGAGAAGTGGGGTGATTTAATGCCTTGATTCAGTCTGATGTTTTTTTTTTTTTTT